ATCCCCCGAGACTCGGTTTATAGCAAAAAAATTTCCATGTACAGACATTCGACCTCTACAGTTTTATTATATGTATAGATAAGGTATAGAAATTACTTAAAAACTCCATCATAGTAGTAGATTTTTTTTTGAAATTTGTCTTGGATCACTTATTCGTTAAAAAAGAATTATTGTAAAAATTCATTTAAATTCACAAAATTATTAAGTAGAGTATCTCATTCTTTTATGACCAGGCTAAGCTCTCTGTAAGTACTTATATACAGATGTCTCTATATAAAAGATAGGTTTATAATATTTAGGAGTGGCAAAAGGACCCAAACATAAAAAACAGTACTGTGGATAAAATTCAAATATACACAGATGCAGCGAGCACAGCTTAGTGGTTAATTGTTCTCTTGGCCGATTTTGGTCACGGCAGCCAATCTCAATCAGGCTAACCCTCGACTCGGGAGATAAGTATCATAGTGCACAAGTGTGTGCGCAAACACAAGTACACCTCTTGTCATCCTTCATGCTTCACCCATAAGGCCTCTTATTGAGTTTTTCGACTGAAAAACCCAATAACTTTACGTAGCCTTACCCAGGACTCGAACGCAGGACTTTCCAATTCTGACGAATCTTAGTGATAATTAATTCTTTGTCTATTCTTTTCATGTAATAGACGTCTAAGCCACGACCGCCAATTTGTCAGATATATGTACATAGATAACACTGCCTTTGCTGTCATCAACTAAGGATGGATCAACGGCTAAAAAGAAAATGGCATTTTACTCTAGGTTTTCTATGATACTAACAAACTTTTTACCCTGTTAAGATAAGTGAGTGAAGATGTAGAAATATTTTCCTAACATTTTGCGAATATATACTCAATTTATTCTATGTAGCGTACTCATATTAATTATTGTAAAGGTATTTCATTTCTATGATTCTATTTCTTGATGCCACCTTTTAGACCAGTAAATGGATGAAACACAGAAGTTATAAAAAGAAATACGACATTTCTCGTCTCTGTTTATTACTGTACATTAGTTATACTGCTTCCGTAGTGTCGTTTCGGCATGAAATGGGAACTAATGAGATTTTGATGTTTTTTTGACTGAGCTTTTATTTTTCCTCAGTAACATAACGATGTTGAAATCTTAAAGGAAAAGTTACGTGTCGTTTTTGCATCTTGTCTTTATGTGAAGGTGGTACAGTTCTAACGATAAAAGTGAGATGCAGTGTACAGAATATATTGTAAATTAGGTTACTGAATTTTTACAAAATGTAGGTCAGACCATTTAATATGTTTTTTGACTTGCAGTAATTCATGAATAAACTCTGTCGTAAGATAACTATCCATCAATATGATACCATCTATTTATTTTAAACTATAAAAAAGTATATTTTCTAGAACTACTAAAAGAGGTAAGAATAACATTTTAAAAGCTATTTATAGAACAAAAAAAATATCGAGACGTATTTTTTAGTATTTATTTATAATCCTTTAATCTACTACCATTTTGGTTTTATTATTATTGGTTTATATACTTTAATCATTTATTTAAATCGTCCTAGATATAATGATATAATTTACTTTGTTTACGATATCTTCAAAATATTAGCTTAAAAACAGTACTCGTAATTTATTGTCGAAAGTTTCAAATAATTTAGTAAATTTAATATGGAAATAAGCTTTACATTTTGGTGCACTGAATCTAGTTTATTCATAAACATTATTAGTGGACACCGAGCGAGTGCCTCGGCGACACACGTTATGTAATTAATTTGGAGAAAACAGTTGCATTTAATATAGCAATTTGTATTCAGCTGCACTCACTATCCTGTGCTCTTGTTTTGTTTTAGAGTCAAACTTAAACTAAATAAAAAGTGTTTCAGGGTAGATATGGGATTAAATTTTATTAATTTATACTTTTAAGTAAAGCTCCACAGAATAGATATTAGAATTGCTGAACAAATTGTAATGGGATTTTTATAGGCGGATAGAGTATTCGAGGATGAAATTGTTTATTAATATCATCATAATATGCGAATACTTCTGTCGTGTCTGTGATTTTTGCGTTTCCGAACCTAACGTGTCGGGTTCACATTGAACCTCCGCTGAAAATCATCATCTATCCTGCATGCCTATAAAGTATGAAGTGTAACAGATAATCTATATCTATATATTAATATATTATGAAGAGAAAAAAAATGATTTTGTATGTTTGTAATGGAATGCAAGGTGATCATGAATGTAGCGAGAGTGAGACGCTAGTAATATTATATACTAGGCCCGCGGCTCCGCCCGCTTTCAGATGACCAAAAACCAAATTCTTATGTTTTACACATTAGTATACTCTTACATTGCAGTTTTTGTATTTTTTCTCAGAAATGAGACATTTTCATGCAGTAAAAGTATCCTGTATGTTGACCCAGATAACCAGCTATCACCATACCAAATTTCATCAAAATCCCTTCAGTGGTTTTTCTGTGACGGGTAACAGACAGGCGGACAGACAAAAACTCTAAAAACTATAGATTCGGCCTCTCTATCGATAATAATGTCTATTACAATAAGATTTTCCAAAAATTATTTAATGTACAGATTCGGCTTAGTTACAATTTTATTATACATATGTATAGATAGATCAGTAAAGATATAATGTAATCAATCTTTACTATCCTAGTATGGACCTAATATCATATTATGAAGAAAAAATATCTCTTGTGAGGTAAAAACATGTTATTATTATCTCACACCGTTTATCTTTTAGACAGCTCAATCGTGATATCTATCTATTTTACATAGTTACTTTACAGTGTCATATATAATACACTATGTGACAGAAATATCATACCTTTCACTTGTGATAAATGAGTGAAAGATATTTAAAATAATATTTTCATAATAATTATAATATACGTAAATGTATTTATAATATAACCCAGAACTGGTTTAGTTAAAGCATAACTGTAATTATTTACTCATTGTAAAAATAAACTATACTAAGACATTAAGACAATTTACAATACTCTTAATGTTTTTCTTATGTACATTTTTAAAGCATGTGACATATTGTAAGTTTAAAAATTAACTGTACTAAAAAGTTAATGGTCGTTCTAATTACTCATAGAATAATGTTAAAATGTTGCATTATACAATAGCTCGGTTCAAAATGTTTCTATAATACAAAGAATGATATACAAATCCACGTCAAGTACTCGCTAGTCTCGAAAATCTACGAAAAGGGTTCTCCAGATTTCTGCAGTGCATGACAACAGTAGAGCATTTAGTTAATGTATTGTAGATAAAATTAACTGCACAATATGTATACAAGAATTTTATTCTTAACTATCGTACCAAAGTTTTGAATGTTCAACATAGTTAAAAAAGTTTTTTCTTAAATGTTACTATGACGACACGTTTGGCTCAGTTTGTAGTGACGCTACTTGCAATGCCAGCGGTCGTGGATTCGAGTCCCGCTGGGCGCATTCATTTGTGTGATGAGCGCGAATGTTTGTACCGCAGTTATGGGTGTTTATATTTATAATATGTATGTATTTAAAAGTTATATATGTGTAGTGTATCAACTATATAGTATCCATAGCACAAGCCTCGTACGCTTACCATGGAACTAGATGGTGCTGTGTGTTAATGTCACAACATATCTATGATACATAACATGTATAAATTGTACTAAATATACTGCTAGTGTTTTATATCTATGACCATCAAATATGAATGGGATATATAATAATTAAAATACAGATTTAAAAATATAGAGCATAACATCCCTTACAATCAGCGCTGGATTTAGACTAGGGGCACTCGGCCCTAGTGCCCAGGGCGGCAAATTTTTAGAAACGGCAAAATTCAGAGGGTGAGAAAAAAAAATTCTTCGTGTTATCGAAAATGTTTTTTTTTTGTTTTCCAAAAAATGATTAATTAAAAAAATTAAGTAGGTTGGTATTAGGACGTTTTTCGAAAAAATGAAACCATTTATAAATTATTTCGTCGCATTTTTCAAAAAATTTATATATTTTTTTTATCTTTCAGCATTTTATTCAAAACTTTGATAATAGGGCGGGCGGCATTTTTTACTATGCCCAGGGGCGGCGCTAAATTAAATACGGCACTGCTTATGATATAAAAATTCCTCCATTCATAGATATACTTATTGTCAAAATTTACGTTTGTACGTAAATGCAAGCTTTATAGCATAGTATATGAGATTCAAATATGATATTATTTTATAACGAGTTCTTTATTAACACCCATTTGTTTTAGAATACCCGTTTAATATATGTTTTTCCCGAGCCAAAATTGAATACCCTAGCATTACTTAAAGTTACTTTAATAAATTACTAATAATTTATATAAGAATATGAGATGCAGAAAGAATTGTGTACAAAGTAAGTTACTATTTGCTTACATCCGCTTTCTAACTGGGGGATGTCTGCTACGGACGTTCAGTGCGTACGATTCATACGTCTGTTAGTGAATTAAACATGAGATTTCTGAACTGACCGTTTGGTAAACTTCTACAAGCTGTTATATGATGGTCTTATTTGAGAGCACAAGTTTCTGTGGAATAAATTTTTATTATAGCTTTAGTTTACCAATAAAATGTTCCTTAAGTAAAGAAAACCTTTTGTATATTATTTATATTACTGCTATGGGCATATTAAATAAAAATGTAACAAAAGCTATGTATTAGGAGATATCTTTAAATTTATTAGACTAGAGATTACATATTGCACATTCAAACAGATGTATGTATCATATTACTAATAAAATATCGCAACACACAACACGAGCTTCATCAGTCTCAATGCTAACTATATAAATGCTGAACTGGTGTGAATAACTGCTATATAAAAATGTCACAGCCAAAGTAATTTTTTTATTGCTATAGAGATAGCTCGTCAAAATATTATACTTATCACAGTTTATCTGTGTTATGGAACGAGTTTATCACCATATCTAGCTAGATCAATAGATCTTTTTTTAATCACTATGAGTTTTCTGCGTCTTTCCTTTTCTCTCTTTTTCTTTCATAGTGAATCATAATCATATCAGGTATCCACATAGCTAGAAATAGCACTAATAGTAAGTTTTGCGCGCTTATGCACAAAGCATAGCTGCCTGTGTAGTCTCTGACCCACCCTAGGAAGTATCCCACTGGAGGAACTATAAGGCCCATAGTCAACATCCCCAAACCTACAGCGGAGGGTACTTGATCCATTCTACACTGTTCCGACACAGCTATGTTTCTTGCAACAATGACCATACTCCTTCCAAAACCATAAAATGCTGAGAGTGCTAGGAGGACGGATAAGTCGGTCTGATATGCCAAGACTGTAAAGAATATTAGTAAAATTTAGTAATAATTCCCTAACATAGATTACTTTTAATAACACATTGTACATCTATCAAAAGATTTAAATATATTTTTTATAATAACTAGCGGCTCACCCTCGCTTTGCTCGGGTTTGCCTCTAGACAAACAAAAACAAATTTATCCCACGGGAACCGCACATTTTTCCTGGATAAAAAGTAGCCTTTTTGTTATTCTGATGTATGAACTATATTATTTATTTATTTATGTACAATAAAATATATGTTATACAAAATAAAGAAAATCGTCAACAAAGGATAACTTATCTCTTTAAGGATAACTTATTTCTTCCAGAAACCCTTCGATATTATAGTAAAGTTTCATTAAAATCCAATGAGTAGTTTTTGTGTACTAAGCTGTATAAGTTACTATAGTTTTTTAACTATTCCACAAGAAATTTTTGATTTTCCGGAATGAAAGGTATCTAAAATATTGACTGGGGATATAAGGTACCACAATTCAAAATTTCATTTAAATCGGTCCAACAGTTTCGGAGATTAGCCCATACAAACCGACAAACAGACAGAGAAACAATTTTTTTTAAATCTGGGATTGTTCTATTTCTCTTCTGCCATCCCCCTGACTCGGTTTTTAGCATTTTTTTCTATGTACAGACATTCGACCTCTGCAGTTTTATTATATCTATAGATATTATAAAGATACAGGTTTCATTCAAAAAAATTACTTACTTTGTCTAACAACAATTAACCAAATGCTGGTTAGAATCAGCATCGTTCGGGCTTTAATACGATATCTGTCCTGCAGAGACGGCAAAACAAGCCTACCGATGATATCAGCAAAAGCCACAGCTGACATACAGTATGCGGTCTGCTGTTTGTCCATTGATGCGAAATTCTATGCAAATGATTTGTAGAAGTTTATATATTATTATATCATATACATTCATAGGCATATTTATTCTATTTATTCATTTTTTCCAATAAACTTACTTGCAAGAAGAGTGGATAAATCATACTGAAGTTTTGTATAGAAACCACTGTGAGCGCAGTCCCTATAATTACGTTCAAAAATCTAGGACTCGATAGCAGTGAAATATCGAACAATTCGTACATCTTTCTCATAAAGGTCTTCTTCGGTTTTGGGATGTCATTATTTCCTTAAATTATATTTTTATAGTTATAGTAAAACTAAATATTTGAATTTATAAATGTTTTATTTTTAAAGTAAATCTTACCATTTATTTTTTCATTAGTTATTAATTTTTGATTTAATTCTTTATGACTTTGTGATGTTTTTTCATTGCTCAGTTTTTTACCGCCATTTTCCGGAGTTACAGATGATTCTGTAACTCGCCTGCCATCTTTATAAGCGTCGTCATTTACGCCATTGTATTCTTTATTCTTTACAACATCATTTTTTTCTTTTAATAAGTACATTTTCTCATCAATTATTACTTCCTCTTCAACTTCCTTCATATGCCATTCAACTGGTTGTATAAGTATCGTCCCACAAATCTAAACATATTTTTAATTATTACTCGTATATTGTATGTTTATATTGTATATTTACTAGTTTAGTTAATTATTTTCGAAAAATTTCTGAAGTTACCAAGCGTTTGGCCAGTTTATTGGACTTAATTGATGGGAAACTTGTACCCAGAATTGGGACGTTGAAAGACGTTATTAATATATTTCTAAATTTTATTATGTTTTATAAAATTTATTGTATTCAGCCCGTTTCAACGTCCCACTGCTGGGCACGAACCTGTCTTCAATACAAAAGGGATCAGCCCATAGTCCACACCATGCTGGCTAAGTGTGGGTTGGCTGACTACACATGTCTTTCGAAAACTTACTAAGTTCTCTCAGACATGCAGGTTTATCCTCACGATGTTTTCCTTCCCCGTAAGATAAGTGGTAATCATGTTGGAAATAATTCGCACATGAAAATATCGGAGGAGCGAGACCCGAGATTTGAACCCGCTTCACTTGGTTTCCTAAGTAAGCGCGCTACCACTGGGCTACCGTTGCCTTCTAAATTCTAAATTTGTTCTGCTAAAGTTATTGTTTTATATTTAATGTGCCAAATGCATACTTACTCCATGCAAACTTAAAGATGCCAGCAGCAAGCAAGCACCTTTAAAACCAAAATGTTCCAAAAAGTATCGCACTACATGAGGCATGAGTGTCTGTCCAACTCCAGTGCCTGCCATAGCGAGACCTACGGCTAAACTTTTTCGTACTTTAAAATAGCTGTTGATAGCTACGAAGGACGCATTTTGAATTAAGCCCAGACCCAAACCTAGAAGAAAATCATGGTTATTATTATAATTTACGAGTAAACAAAAAGTGTAGTTGACACCAATCAATTGACTTAATTTTTATGAGTTGTCAAAATATGATTATCCATATATATTGTATAGCTAGCTTATTTCCTAAATTAATTTTATAACTTTTTATTGATTATATAGTAACTAGATATCTTATTTCATATTTAATTAAAAAATTAACCTAGAATTAATTTTTGGACTTAAAGTAATTTTTATAGAAGTATCATCTTGGAACTATTTGTTGATGGTGTCAATTACCCAGTTAGTGTGAACAAAATATACACCATATATATCTATAAATACAAGTAAACATAGTAACATATTCACCTAATAGTACGCCGTAAGTAAGTATTAAATGATAGATATTTGTCGAAAATCCACTGAGTAAAATGCCGGCAGTACAAAAAAAAGCACCGGATACAGCAACAAATCTAGGGCTCGTTAGTTTTATGACTGCTCCAGCTATTGGACCTCCAAAATTAGTGACAAATAACATAGTACTTAAAACGACAGCTGCACCTTGAGTTTCGTGACCCATCGAACTCAATACGTCCCCATATAGCAAACTGAACAGAGACAACATAGACTGATTGAATATCTGAAAAAGGTTATATTTGAGCATACTGTACCCTGTTATAAAAAAATTCTATAACAAATATGAAAATAACTTATTTATAATTAATATTTCTTTTGTTTTTGTTAATTTAATAAACTTCAAATAAGAATATATTACATAACGAGTATAATATTGTCATTTAATGAATGCCGAACGAAGGTTTCTATTACTTAAATATTTTCATTTGAGATTGAGTTTAACGCCAACAATCCAACTGCTAAGTGATTTCCATAAGTACGAAATTCTTTAAATGGTTTTTTTTTACCTTTAAACGTGTACATATTTTACTATATAATAAACCAATACTTTACGATACATGTACTATAAAATATCGGTACATCTGTGTAAACATATGGGTATATGGGTGATTCTACGATAAAAGGTTTTGCGTCCATAGAAGATGCGGCCAAGGGGAAAGGTTGAAATTTTTTGATTAAACACATAAAATACGATTTAAGTCCCATTTATATACACATTCACCTAAGGGCAAGTCACTTTATTATTAAATATATTTTTAATTATTTTTTTTTTTTGCAAATATTACTTAAATAAAACAAAAGCATACACTGGTAGCTTTCTAAAAGCATATAATGCTTAGCCATACTCTTCAAAATCATTACAGTAGTCAGTGAGTATCTCTATGATCTGGTAGTGTCTTGACAGAGGAAATACGCCAGAGGAGAGACTTTTTCGCGACAAATTTAAATTTTTTAGTGACATAGATTAATATTGGGTTAATAATATATCACACCTCAACTATTACAGTATTGTTGATTTTAGGCAATAAATACAAATAAATTAAGTGAATATTATAAATATTACGACTTTGCAATGGAGAGACACAATCACCTTGCGAAATCACTAAGCACTTTCGCGTCGCACTAACAAACAAATAATACCAATCTAAGGGCTCGTCTGTTCAATATTGCTACGAGTAGCTTACGTTTATAAGCGTCCTTTGGCCCTAGTTTAAATATGGCCTCCCAATATTTATGTTAGTTTTGACGGACCAAAATTCGCCAGAGTAGATACACAAAAAAAGCGGGACAAAAATAAAGTTCAAAAGTTATTGAAAATAAACAAATATTGTTGCATTTTACATTTATAATACTTAAGTATACTTGTTTAAATTCGTGATAAATATACTTTAATTTGGCAACTGCGACAAAAAAGGTATGTATTGTCTGCATGTTTAACTAAAAATGTCAAGGGGACAAGCCAAAGTAGAGACTTTTTCATACTTAAATATGGAATATCAGGAAAATGTATTTTAATTAGGTGTTTAATCGTAATGCTATTTATAAAATACATTAAGATGCTATGATTTATTGCATAAAATGACAAGACTTAGAATAAAGAAGCTATTTTATATTGATTGCTGTACACATGACCTCTTATCGTAGAATCACCATTAAACTATGTCAAATCCGTTGATTAATTGATAATAATTTATGATGATGATGATGATGATGTTCTCCTAGCCGATTCCGGCCATGGCGGCGAATCTCAATGAGATTAGCCAACTGCACAGGAGATATTATAGTGCTCAAGTGTACGCGCAGACACAAGTGCACTCTCTATTCCTATCACTCTCATACTCCGGTGGGACGACCACTCGACACGACCGGTGAGAGTTAAGGCGCAGGACCGACGGCTTTACGTGCTCTCCGAGGCACGGGGGTGAAACACCGCCAACTTCCCAACTCCGGGCTGTTACTGAGACTTACTATACAGGAAGACTCAATAACTAAACTTGGCCCGACCCGGGACTCGAACCCAGGACCTCCGGGTGTGCAGCCGTACATACTAGCCACTACACCACCGAGGCAGTTAGATTTATATTAAACATATTACCCGGTAATTTTTAGCTTAGCTCATCGTTTTAAATATATTCTACTATTATAAAATCGTACAATCGGTTATAATCTAAGGCACTGGTCATAAAAACTTTAACTAATAAAGAGTTACACTTTTTGAGCGAAATATTCTGTTTAGTACCATAAGGAAGGTGTTTTTATTAAAGTACCTCAAAGTTTCATAAGTAAAATCGCGTACGAAAGCTAGTGTTTGAAAGTTATTTTTTTTTTTGTACTTACGTTTGAAAGTGCTGTTCCTAATAAAACCATCCAACCCCATCCTCCATCAGGTGGGACTAATTTTATCCGCTTTTCCATTGTCGGTTTCAAGACGAGCGAATTTTTTTTGGACATCTTGCTGATTTTAGAACTAAGATTTAATATAAAAAAAATTCGAAGCCTTATATCTATTACCTTCTAGTTCACATGTACCTAGAACAATAAATTAGAAAAATAATTATTATATTATAAAAAAGTATGCACATGTTAATATTGATATTTAATTTTAATTTGTATATGTATATAAATTAATATCTTCATTTTTTGGTCTTTTAAAAATTATAAAAAGTTATTTTAAGTTTGTACGAATAAATAGAAGGTTGTTTTTATTTGTTATATTTATTTAATGAGCTCAAACTTCAAGTCAGTAGAAGTGATAAAGTGGTCATATCCTAAAACGGCAGTTTTTAAGAAAAAAATTGCATGTCCTACCTCCTCGATATCTTCTTTAAAATAAGTTTTGCAATTTATCGAGGTAATAAAACTCAAGATAATTTACTCAAGAATTGTTAAAAAAATATTTTGATATTAATTTTTAAATCTAAATTAATACTCGATACTTTAATTTAATTTTATCAAACAAACAACCCAATAAGTTGTTGTATATATTTTTTAAAACAATTCTATAAAGTACAGCAAAAATTGAGAAACATATTATGAAAAAAGTTAAATATATACATATATTATGTTACTGATATATAGCAGTTTAATTTCTAAGACCATAACTTAGAATTCAAAGAAGTTATTATTTTTTAAGTCTGTCAGAACATACGTTTTGTTCCACATACGTGGATCAATTTTATAAAATTACTGACTAAAACCGAAAAAATCTTTCAAACAAAAGCAGTTATTCATTTGAGCAAAGCAAACTGCTATATGCTATCAATGATATTAGCCCTTTTATATGAAGATTTTTATAAAATATATTGAAAACATAACAACAAATTCTCCGATAGATGTAAAGTCTAGCTATCTCTTTTTTAGCCAACAGCGGTGAAGCCCAAAGGAGGGTTATGTGTTTGACCTGTATGTATGTATGTATGTATGTATGTATATATGTATGTATGTATGTATGTATGTATGTATGTATGTATGTATGTATGTATGTATGTATGTATATCCGATTATGTTCCCTCGTAATTACTAAACGGCTTAACCGATTTTAGTGATTCATACGTCATTCGATTCATCTTGATAACGCGATTGTCATAGGATATATGGATATAATTAAAACCTCAAAATGGCGGATCCTAAGCGCCAATTTGTGTCTTGAAAAAAAAATCCAAATCAATCAAATGGGGTATCAAAACACAGGTTTTAAGTGGCGATTACAAAATTATATATACTTATATGTTTAAAAGTAATTTAGGATAAGAAATTGTTAAATAATACTAAAAATGTCTAAATGACCATAACTAAAAAGCTGTAAATAAAAAAACATATTTACTAAAACAAAAAACCCGACTGCATAAAAAGCGAACTAAAACGAAGAGAACAAGTGTACGAAAGAGCGTAGTATTATGCAGTTGGAGTTGGAGACTCTATACATATTATTATGTATATGTTTAATAACACGTCGATGACACGTTTGGCGCAGTTGGTAGTGACCCTACTTGCTGTTCCAGCGGTCGCGGGTTCGAGTCCGGTTGGGGCATTCATTTGTGCGATGAGCACGGATGTTTGTATTCCAGTCATGGGTGTCTATATTTATAATACGTATGTATGTATTTAAAGTTATATATGTGTAGTGTATTAACTATCTGGTATCCATAACACAAGCCTCGTAGCTTACCATGGAACCAGATGGTGCTGTGTGTTAATGTCCCAACTGCTTGTGTGTATGTCTCAGACTTAATATGTTCCTTCGTACACTTGTTCTCTTCGTTTTAGTTAGTTTTTTTTACGCAGTCGGGTTTTTTGTTTTTGTAATTGGTTCAAACTGAGTGCAATAAGGTACAAATAAATAACCCATTCAGGGACATTTAGATATTAATCTTTGAAACTTATGTATTATATCATAATATTATTATTATACCCGGAAGTTTTAGATATTATGCCTTGACGACACAGTATTTTTATTTCATACTATAATCAGTAATCACGGTAGATTGCCCGTAATATTACTATACATTAATATTTATTATTTGCTATATAATTATATGATTTTTTTAAACGTCTTTTGATAACAGATTGAACTATTTCATCAGTTATTATAAAGAGTAGTATAAATATTGTTTTTAAAACACTATTATATTGTGTAAATAAACCTTGAACGAACTCTAGATGTAAATCGTTTAAACGCGCTTACAATGAATTTAATAATTAGAAACGTGATACCGTCTGTTGTAATCTGAAAATTTTGTTACAGACTAACAAATAATTATTAGGTATAGATAGTAAATACTAAAAAAGTTATTAAAATATTTTATGAGAATAAATAAATATGTAGGGACATTAACACACAGCACCATCTAGTTCCACGGTAAGCTTATAGTTATGGATACCAGAAAGTTGATACACTACACATATATAACTTTAAATACATACATATTATAAATATAAACAACCATGACTGGAGTACAAACATTCGTCATCACACAAATGAATGCCTCCAGCGGGACTCGAACCTGCGACCGCTGGCACAGCAAGTAGGGTCACTACAAACTGAGCCAAATGTGTCGTCAAAATATTAAATATTTTTGCATTTTAATATTTAAAATTTAGTATTAGCAATAACAATTTCATAATAAGTTAATATTCTTCGGCCCTCTCTTAGTATAATAATAATAAGAGTATATTGATAAATAAATAAGGCACGAATTCGTCGATGGCATAACAACATGCTAAAGTAACATGTTTTTAATAACATGATACTTATCAGTAACAATTCATATTTTGTTGATATCTATATGACTGATAATATGACAACGTACCTACTATAATCTATCTATTTATCCATATCCATACTTAATATTATAAATGTGGAAGTGTGTTTGTTTGTTTGTTTGTTTGTTTGTTTGTTTGTTTGTTTGTTTGTTTGTTTGTTTGTTTGTTTGTTTGTTTGTTTGTTTGTCTTTCTTTCATGTCGAAACTGCTTGGCGTATTGGCGTGAGTTTATGTGTAGAGATCTTCGGAGGGCTGGAGAGTGACATAGGCTACTTTTTACCGCGAGAAATTATCTCTTTCCCACGGGAAAACACGTAGTAATACAATAAAAAAATTATTTATGATCTGAATAATTTGAAACTTGGTAGAAAAATGCTTTTCAATACAATTAATTAAATACGTGTTTTAGCATTTTTCGAAATTCATTCCATAAGGGGGTAAAATAGCGGATGAAAGTTTGTATGAAACCTCCCATTTTAGAGATTTTTGTACTTTTAGCGCGAGCAAAGCCGCGGGTTCTACTAGTGTATATATAAAACAAAATCGGGTTTGTTACAACACTTATAACTCGAGAACTGCTGGACCGATTTTTATGATCTTTGTTTTGTTGGATATGTCTTCACCTCGAATAGCAGAATAACTATTAAAATATCAGAAAAATTCTCAAAAAAAATTGAAAAAAAAACTATTTCATACTAAGGCTTTCAAACGTACTTAGGGAAGAACCTAAGCGAAGCGAGTGAGTCGCTAGTATTTTTATAAAAATAACTATATGACTTATATGATGCTCAAACTAGTTATTGATAATAACGTGTTATCACTTATTACGGAATTTTTTCATGGTATTTAAAATAATTTAAGATGTTTTTTATGGGTAATTCCTATTCATGTATTGATTTTTATTGTATCTTTGACAACTTTGTACGTGTGAAAATCTACCACGGTGGTCTATCTAGTGGCTGCAGATCCGGAGGTCCTGGGCTCGAGTCCCGGGTCGGGCCAAGTTATGAGTTTGTCAAGAAAGTCTCAGTAAAAATTGACGATATTTCTCTGGTGACTGACCTTTCTTTGGTCGTGTCGAATAAACGAAGACTTGAAAAAAAACTTCATCCAATAAAAACGAGTAAAAATTTCTTTCTTTAAGAACATTCATAGATGTGTGAAAGTTTCAAAGATTTTTCTAAAGAATTTAATTTATGATATTAGCCGGTATTTCAATTTTTTTTCAAAATAGCGACGCAAACTGACACTCGTATCTATTGATAAAGGACATAAATTATGTTTAAGTATCTTATTAAAGACTAGCATTTCCCGCGCCTCCGCCCGTGTTCAGATGACCAAAAATCAAATTCTTAGGTTTTACATATTAGTATAATACCCTTATATTGCAGTTTTTGTATTTTTTCTCAAAAATGAGTTATTTTGCTGCGGTAAAAAGTATCCTATATGTTGACTCGGGTAACCAGCTATCACCATACCAAATTTCATCAAAATCCCTCCAATGGTTTTTCTGTGATGCGGTATCAGACAGACAGGCAGACAAAAATTCTAAAAACTATAGATTCAGCCTCTGTATCGATAATAATGTTTATTTCAATAAGATTTTCCAAAAAATATCTAATGTACAGATTCGGCTTAGTTACAATTTTATTAAATGTATAGAGTACGAAAATTAAAATATTATACAATGTTTAATAATATTTAAGGAAATAAAACTGGTAAGAAGTTTCCAATGGCACAAAGATTTTGTCCTTGCCCTCTTGTCCATTTATATGAAAATGTAATTAGGATTCAAATAATAAAATTATTATTTATTAGTCATATTATATTATTTAGTCTCTTTGTTTTTCATTATTTTTTTATTGTGTTATATTATTTACTCGTCATAAATATAATTAATTCAAAAGAACATCTTTCAACGTGAAGGTGAGTCTATCTGTTAGGCGAGGACTGCGTATGTTCAACTTATTACAGAAACGTACATAACGTTTTCATACTGCAAGATTTACTATATAAGGCCATTTCATTGTCCAAAATTACGGTTTTCTTTATATTTTTCACAAATTTTATTTAATTTTAATTAAAAAAAAATATATTGTCATGAAATTTAATTTAATTTATTATTCTATGCAAATAGTATGCTTATAGCAAAATACACGAATTTTAATATTTACAATAAAAATGTAAAA